AGGCTGAAAGATGCAGATGGTGAATCAGCCCAAGCCAGCTGCATCCTTGCCCAGAGAAGCCTGGGGCAACTTGTAATCAAGGGTTGGGATTTTTATTCCCCTTATTTATTGGGTTTATTAGGTTTGCTTCTGTGGGCCCCACAGGCAGTCTGGGCTGGAAAGAAAGTGATAGAAGCTGCTGGGGAAAAAGCTCCTTTCTTCTAGTGAGCAGCTATGGGGCTGTGCCGGGGCCCCTGGCACCGTGGTGGAGGGCTTTTGGGGATCACAGGTGTTGAGTGCTAACCAGCATTAACAAAAGATGTTCCCTCCCATCAACTACTGGCACGTGCAGACTGGCAGCAGATGGGGACAGTGCCCAGCAGGAAATATCAGCAGGGGAGGGGCATAAAAATGTGTGACTGGGATCACTTTGGCCAAGATTTCAACTGTGAGCCAAGTCCCTTTATCCACAGCTGAGTCACCCTCAAGATCTGCAGGGAATGCCCAGCAGCTTACCTAGGAGGGGATCAACCAGGGCAGTGGGGTTTGCCTTTCACCCATCCGCATGCTTCCGCCCCTGCAGGAGTACTGCAGCGCCTGAGGAAGATCTACCACGCCTCCATCAAGCCCCTGGAGCAGTCCTACCGATACAATGAGCTGAGGCAGCACGAGATCACAGGTAATGCCACGGGCACTGGGGTCTCTGGCACCATCAGGTCATTGGGATGCAGATAACAGCTCAGAGAGCAGATCATGGAAAGGCTTGGATAGTTTGTCTTCCTTTACAGCTTCCCAAGAAGGCCATGAACATGCTGGGCTTAGAGGACGTGCCCTGGTGAACCCAGCGGCAGGGATTCCTGCATCTGCCTTAGCCCATCTGCTGTCAGGACCATCTGTGTAGGCTGAGCATGGAGCCCTGCCTGCTTTGGGTCCTCCACCTGCTCAACATCAATGCCCTGTACCCCTGCCAAGCAGAGATCACGGCCCAAGGAAACAGGCTTGGCAAGGAAGCTTAGGACCTCTCAAGGCTGGGGGTGAGCATCCTGGGGGTGGCTGGCGCTGGCATCCTTCCTGCTCCGTACAGGACACGGCCACGTGGGCAGGGCATCCCTCAAGCTCAGCAGCCTTCACTTGTCCTGGGAGTTAGAGTTTCCACCCCTTGGCAATCGCAGACACATTGGATCAGGTGAGCAGGTCCTTATGGCCACGGGCATTGGCTCGAGCTGAGCCCCAGCAGCACACGTGTGCCTCCAGAAGAAGAAAGCTCAGCCTCAAGATACTCACAAGCTACAGGAAACTCTTGTCACCCATATGGCACAATCAGACCCATTTTCCAAGTGCAGATGGCTCAAGCCCAGGTCCAAGGTCCCTGTTCACCAGGGTAACTCTCCTGGGAGCCCCTACTCCAGCCCTGTCCTGAGCTGGGGCCAGATGCCCCCTGGCCTTGGCCAGGCAGGCAGGGGGCGCTGGAGTCCCTGCTGCCTGTGTCCCAGGGCTGCACACCCACAACAGCACCCTGCCAGGGTCCCTCCTTGTCCTGAAGTTCTGCCTCTCTCCCCAGGTGTCCTCTGGGCTTTGGCCTCGCACACCCTAGAGCCATGCCCTCCCTCCTGGGGAGGCAGGACCCAGATACACCCTCTCACACCACACAGACCTTACATCTCCATACCCAGCCAGCCCATCGCCAGCTGGGGAGCATGGGGGACCCGTGGGGCAGGGACAGGGCTTAGAGTCCTCATCACCAGCCCCAGATTCCATCCCCTCAAGACACAGAGCACCCTGGACATCATCCACCACCCACCCGCAGGGGTTCTGGAGGGGGCATTTGTAGGTCTCATGAAAGACGAGCCATGCCTCGCTGCCTGCCGCAGCCAGCTCTGTGTCACTGCCTTTCCCGGCCTCGCTCTGCGCTGCTTGCCAGCAGCTGGGGCCCACGACCTGCTTGCCGTGTGGGAGGGCAACCGGGAGGGCCACAGCAATGTGCCATGCTGCAGCCAGCACAGGGGGGTGCCCCACAGACCCTCACGCCACGGCCACTGTCACCCACCCGGTGCACTGGCCCGTCCCCTCCTCACGCAGCCCTGCCACGTGCCTGGGGAAAGGAGCACCACAAGGTGTAGGGTTGGCACCCGGGTGTGCATCCCCACAGCCTCTTCAGCAGTGGCACCGCGCAGCAAGGACAGCCCAGCCGTGCCCTGTCCCAGCTGCCCCCATCCTGGAGCCCACAGATTCAGGAACACCCTGACCTCCTCTCCAGGCCGCTTTGGTGGCAGGGCAAGCATTGGCATTTACTGTCAGCTCACCCTGGGGCACTGTTTAGGAGAACATTTGGGGTTACAGGGGCAGCTGGTGGGCTCCCAGCCTCTAACCTTCGCTTTGCTCTTCCCTGCCAGAGGATGCAGCCCCCAGCCTCAGTTCCCAGCCCTACACCATCCCATACCTGAGCAGCCACCTCCCTGCCCCCTTTCTGGGAGGCAGTAAGTGTTTCACAGCCCCCTGCTGCCTTCCTCCCTCCCAGCTCCCAAGGAAACAACCACCAACCCTTGCGTTTCCCCAGCTCAAACCCAGGCCCCAAGCAGGACTCACCACAGGCAGCATCTCCCAGTGTTCCTCACAGCCTCAGCTCACAACACTCCACAGCCTGTTCTGCTTCACTGCCAGGTCCCTCAGCTGACGGTCCTCCAGGTCAGCTCCCAGCACACCCTCTTGTGTCCCACGTGGCACCCTCCCAGCTGCAATCCCAGAGCTGGTAACCCACAGTCACACACCTCACAGGCCAGGGAAGGGCACAGCAACCCTTGGTTTAGCCATGAGAGGCCCTGGCTGTACTCCCAAAAGAGATGTTTCTCCTGCCACCAAAGTCCTTGAGCACCTCAGACACCCCAATCATCCCCTAGCACATGTAACCTCAGCCTGAAGATCTGAAACCCAGCCGTTTGCCTTTCATACCCAGGGATCCAGCTTTTCCCAATCCCTCGTTAGCAGTGTAATTAGAGAAACCTGCAAATCAGTTAGCGGGTTGGCCCAGGGAGCCCTCTTGACTTTACGAGGCAGGTGAGGATACAGTGGGGCTGAGGGAGCCTCCTCAGCCGCTTCCTCCACATGGTGACCCTGTCCTGAGTGGGGTCATCACATCGGTGGTGCCCCTGCAAGCTGGGACGTACCCCCAGCCTCTCCCCCTGCACCCACTCCCATAGCAGGGGGAGGCTGGAGGGCACGGAGCCGCCGGCTCAGCTGGCCGGGAGGAGCGGGACAGCTGGGAGAGCAGCAGGGCAGGCCTGTCATGGAATATGTGTGACCTTTGGAGGTGTAAGCCAATATAGAGGGGTGCCATCGCAAGCGCTTTCGCCCCTCCATTACACAGCAGCGCTCCATTTTGTGTCCCTTGCCGTCGGCTCCCCTCGCGCGCACCAGCCGCTGTAATCCAAGAGGCCCCTTCGCTCCCCGCAGCTCGCAAACACACCCACGTAGGGGAGCGTCGCCTGTCCCGGGGGAGCTGCGACTGCTACCGGCAACCTCAGGCCCTGACCTGTTGGGGTGCATCCCAGACAACTCGTCCCACACCCTCGGCTTACAGCGCCATCCCCTTTTCCCTGCCTGCCTCCCTCCTGCGCCTCCGCTCTGCCACCCCGCGGGGGTGCGTGCACGCTCCGGCCGGGTCCCCCTGTGTGCATGGTCACAGCGGGGCCACCCTATAGGGACTGTCCCTAGCCCAGGGGTGAGGGACTCTCCCAGTCTGGTGATGGGAAGCTTGCTGCGAAGCCGTGCCTGTTCGTGGTGCATGCTGGTGGCCTTAATTACTGTGTGTGTGCTGATTAGCACGCCTGTATAGGGAACGACCTCCCAGTTGCCGTCGCCAGCCGCCCTAGGGCTGGATACGGGTAACCGCACCGCTGGGGTGGTCAGGACACTTGTTGGGGTTGCTGCTGTCCTCACCACGGCTTGTTGGGCTCCCTTTGGTTGGTGAATGTTGCTGGGGAAGGCAATTCCTCCGCTAAGGGGGTCGGGGCACTGCAGCAGCTCTCCTGGGGTTGCTCCCCCAAGCCACATCCCTGGTGTGCAGGGCAGACCGGGGTTTGGTGCTTGTCCTGGTAGCTGGGGGTCTCATTGCTCACAGACTGTAACTCCTTCTCTCCTGCTGGGAATGTGGCCGTCGCTGGCTTTGCCTGCCTACGAGAAGGCCAGGGCCAGTCTTCAGCTCCCTCCTTGGCCTGGGCCAGACCCTGGCAGCCGCGTCCCTCCTTCGACTCACGGTACCTTTTCTCTCTCCCCGTGTCCCCTGCTAACAGCTTACCCCGGACGCACCCTGGGCTCCTCCGCCACAGGTTGGTATCGCTGCCTGCTACCTGCATGCTGCCGGCGCTGCCTAAGCCCTTCGCTGGCCTCCGGCTTTCCTATTCACCTGCCCCAACAGGGTCACACTTCCCGGGCACCGAGCAGACCCTGGTTATCGGCGTCCCACGGCACCCACTGGAGCCGGTGTCCCCAGCCCTACCACAGCTCGGCATGCGTGTCGCTGCACTTGTCTGTCCCAGGCCTGACTCTGTGCATCCTCACCCCGCTCAGGCTTTGGCACCTTTCCCTCTTGGGCTAAGACTCTGCATATTCCTCTAGCAAGGGTTCGAAGGCATTTGTGGTGGACCTGCGGGTCCACCTCCCACCCGAACCGGAGGAGCCCAGCAGATAGCCCACCCCACAGGGGGGCTCTTCCCACCACCCTTCACCCTCCTACGTGCAGAAACTTTCCCGAATGTCCACCCTTGATCCCTCCGGCTGCAGTTTAAGCCGATGAGCCGGCAGCAGCTGTCCCAGTAACACAGGCTGGCCCCTGCGCGGCGGCCTCAGCCCCCTCGGGAGCCAGAGCTGGCTCCTCTCCCTGCCTATCCCGCTCTGCGTGTGCTGCCAGGTTCCCCCTGGAGAAGCGGGAGATGGGAGATGGGCCAAGAAACACCAGCTAACACCCAGCCCTTCCCCTGGGTCTGGTGCTGGGCCATGGGGACAACGTCCCTGCTGCGATACGAGGCAGGGAAATCCCATTTTCTGGCCCTTGTGTCCTACCCCACAGCTCCCACTGCCAGATCCTGCCGAAACGGGCTCCTCCACACCCCAGTCCCGGACGGAGCGGAGCCCTGCCAATGCCTGGAGGGCCTCTGGCTCCCTGTCATGCCAGCATGCCAGCAGCGGAGAGGGTTGTAGATATATATAGCATATTTCGATAGCTGCCTTATCTGCATCCCTAGCTGCAGGCGCACAGGCGCGTGCTGCTTGCGTGGGTGCACGTGTGCGGGGAGCACGACGCGGAGGCAGGCGCAGGCGGTCTGCAGCCACGCGTGGCTTCTCCCTCCGTCTGCTGGCAAGTGGGCCGTGCCCACGCTCAGGGCTTTTCGCGAGCAAGCTGGCCAGCCCTCCAAGGGCTGCCGGGCAGGGCATCCCTGCCGTAGGCAGAGTGGCCGGTGGCGTTTGGGGGATGGGGATGGGGTGGCAGCAGGGGTGATGCTGGGTGAGTCTCCCCAGGGGTTTTAGCCTGCCTGGGTCGTTTGAGGGCAGAGAAGACTTTTGTGCCCATGGCTCAATCTGAAGGAGAGGAGGGAGGTTTTGCCACGTCCTCCGCTTTGCCCAGCATCCTCAGGACAGGCTTGCACAGAGGGGGGTGAGCCAGCACCAGCCAATTCTGCTGGGTTTGAGGACAAGGAGGGAGAAAACCTGGCCCAGGGTTAATCCCAGCCCCAGAGCAGCAATCCTCCCACCCAAGGGCAGCCTGGGTTTGCAAGCAGCATGGAAAAACCTCCCAGAAAGCTGCTGCTCTAGGAAAAAAAAAAACCTTTTTGGGCATCCAAATTGCTTCTATCCCCAGAGCTGAACAGTCCACGACAAACGCAGGCTCTGCGGCAAGAGACGTGACCTTCCTGGCCTTGTTGGCCGGGTGCTTTGCCGGATCACAGCGTGCTCTTTACCCTGCAAACCTGGCAGCTTAGAGCAGCTGCGTTTAAGCAGGACCACAGATGAAGGGGTGCGAGGTTTGAGGACCCCCCCCTGCTCACAGGCAGGGCCTGATCGTGCACCGGCATGCGAGCGCTTCTGGGCACGCCACCAGAACGTGCCTGGCGTGAGCTGGGATGAGCTTGAGCTGGGATGAGCTTGAGCTGAGATGAGCTTGAGCTGGGGGCTGAGGCAGGCTGGGCTGGGAGCGAGCAGCCACAGGGTGGCTGGAGAGAGCCACCGTGATGGAGCTGCCGCCATCCCTGCCCTGCGGCCGGCAAGGACCGGCTCTTTTTCCCCCTGGCCAGACCATCGAGGTGACCCAAATCGGTGCTGAACAGACATAGCAGGGGGACGTAGCAGGGACGGACATCAGGCCAGCACCCTGCTGGGTGGGAGATGCTCTCTGCTCCCCCAGCTCCATGTCCTGGGCAGCAGCGTGGAGGACCCATGCAGGGCCTCACATTCTCGGAGCTGCTGTGCTGCCTGGAGAGCTGCAAGGATCCTGTGCCTGGCGCTGCCCACAAAGCCCGCGGGGTGCCGGCACCCCGTTCCCAAAGCCAGCACCCCGTTTCCAAAGCAAGGGGTAGAGATGGGCTCGAGGAGCTGTCGGTGACACGGCAGAGGGGCTGCCTGCGTTCACGCTGCGCTCGCACAGCCACGCCTGGCCAGGGACGTGTTACGAAAGAGCGCACGGGGACCCGCCTCAAACCTCTGGCACAACATCACAGGGGATGATAATAATAATAATAATAATAATAATAATCCAAAACCCAATTAAAGCCAGCAAGTGAACAGAGCAGCAGCGATAGAGTGGCACAGAGCAATGATTAATGACGAAGTCTGAGGTTTCGATATTTGTTTTTGTCCCATGTGAGAAGACAACGTTGGATCCCTGTGGCTCACAGGCAGCGGGCAGCGGGCAGGGCCGTCCCCCAGTTTGGATGTGGCTGCCCTGCTTTGGGGAGGAGGGTTGAGCTGCATGGACGCAGCTGTGCCCCGTGGAGAGATGTCCCCAGCCCATTCCCTTCCCCAGCGGTGACACGGTGGCCCTGCAATGGGCAGACGCAGGCGGAGCAGGCCGGCATGCCCTGCCTGACTCCTGCACCCATGGTCGGATGGGTTGGGTGCAGAGTCACCATGCAGTGCCCTCCCGCACCCTTGGGAGCAGGAGCTCAGCGCCAGGCGGACTTTGCGGCTCCCTCTCCTTGGAGATGGATTCCTGGCTTGCTGGGAAGCTGCTGGTTCCTGCGTGGGCGGCAGCCATGGAGCAGTGAGGTCTCCCAACCACCACGGGGAAAATAGCTCTGCCTTAGGAGTGGGGCCACAGGGAGGGTGCTGAGGGCAGCACGTGTCCCCCAGGGGCATCTCCTAGCCCTGGGCCACGGGGCAAGGCTCAGCTCTGGCTGAGGGACAGCAGCTCCTGGCTCCTCCAGCAGCACCCAGCCCCTCCTCTGGCTGGACTCTTGCTGGCAGCAGCAGGACCGACCCTCTCCCACCCTGAGCGCAGGATGGGGATGGGGGAAGCGAGCCTCTGCTGCCGGGCACATCCCGGCCTGGAGCAGACGCCCTGGGGTTGTGCTGGGCTGGCGCCGTGGCAGGGTGGCCGCAGCTTGCTCTGCTCTCTGCCGTCTGCCACCAGGGCTCCCCCGGCACCGACTCCTGCCCGGGTTTGCCTGGCTGCGTCAGTGCTGGTACACGAACGGGGACGGGAAGGTTCCCACCAACGGGAACTCACTCATCCCTTTTTTACTTCCATTTCTGGCCTCACGCGGGCTCAAGCCGACTAGCAGGCTCCTGGCTGTCCTGGGCACGGCTTGGGGGCTGTCACGGGCCAGGGGCTCCTCTGGCTCTGCTGGCTGCCTGCCCAGTGGCCTGGGGGCCAGGGGATGAGCAGTGTGAGCACCAACTGATTGCACGAGTCCTGCTCGAGCAGGGATTGCTCCTGGGGCAGTGGCTACCTGTGTCCAGGGACCTCTGAGCTCCCAGACCGATTGCGTGGCATCAGGACAGGTCCCACCACCAGCCTCCTCGAGCCTCTTAGCAAACTGCAGGAGCTGAAGAGCACAGGATGGGGACCGTAGTTCACCTTCCTCCTGCCTTTCCCCAGGCCCCAAGTGGGGCCGTTTGCCCACGTTGCACTCCCCACGCCGGGCTGGAGCCTCGCACCCAGCCCATGCATAGGCAGGGACCCTCTGCTCGGCCGGAGGGCTGGGACCCACGACCTGGGGGCAGGTCCCTGCAAGGATACGGTGGAAATGCGATGGGGGCAGCCGGCCCAAGGCTCGCACCGCGCTTACCAAGCACCGTGCTGTAGTGTCGCTCCTCAAACCACGCCAGCTCCCTTTGCACGAGGCATTCACCTGGTTGCAGCATGGCCACCTCTTTCGCATGTCCCGTGCTTCGCGGCGGCTGCCTTCAAACAACACTCCCCCCCGCAGCCAGCCCCAAACTCACCTCAGCTAAACCAGAACTGAACCCAGACAAGGTTTAAAAGACCTTCAAGTCCTCCCATGGTCTAAGAAAGACCAAACCTCAGAGAAGGTCAGACAAGGTTCGCTCTTGCTGCAGCGAGGCACAGTGACACCCTGCTCCTGCAAACACCGGGGCCCGTCGCTGGGCGATGCCTTGGCTGGCGAATGGCTGGTGGCCCCCGAAGGGTGGCTCTTTCCCCGGCAGCATCATCACCGCGCTTCTCAGATGGGATGCTCGTTACAGCCGGGAGTTAATCGCGCGGCGGCGACAGCTATTGTTTCTTCACTTCCTCTTGTTATTTCCCCTCTCCACAGATGGGGAGATCACTTCCAAGCCAATGGTGTTATTCCTGGGACCGTGGAGCGTCGGCAAATCCTCCATGATAAACTACCTCCTGGGGCTGGACGACACTCCCTACCAGCTCTACACAGGTACCACGCTCACCGCTCCCTCCCTGCTCCGCCGAGGGTGCGCGGGCGCCCGCATTTCTGCGTCCACGTGACAGCAATTCCTGGCCGCATCTCCTCGAATCCCCCACCCCGTTACAGCAGGGAGGTTGCAATCGGGGTCCATGCCACACGGCCGCGGTGCCACGTGGAGGGAGAGGTTGCCCACCACGGCCCAGGGCCTGCCCGCCCTCCCTGGGGAGGAAGAGGGCATCTCACCCTGCAGCAGTCCCATCCCACAGCACTGGGCTCACCGCCTCTGGCCCCGAGTACGAGAGCAGCGGTCATGTCTCAAGGGCAACTTGCCCTTGTCTTCTCACCTTCCCTCCTCACGTGGAGCCAACTGATCCACCCTCCCAGGAGAAAAGCCATTCCCCTTCCCTCCTCCCTGCTCCCGCGGATGTCACCTTGCAGCTGAGGGCAGATGCCCGTGGCCAGCGCTGCGCCGGGGTAGTGAGGGCTGCCGGGAGGTGATTCTCCAGGGTGCCTTGTGCAGTCAGGCCACTTCCAGAACAACCAGTCCCCACAGAAAACAGCCCCACTAGCATCTTCTCAAGAGGTTTAGCAAGAATTTCATGGCCCTGCAGCTTGCCTTCCCCCAGCATCTCTTGGCAAGTGAGTGATGCTCCCTGGCTGGTCCCAGGCCAGCCCTGTCATGTCCATTGCCTGGCATGGATTTCACAGCTCTGCTGCTCCTCTTGTTGCTGGGCAGGGGCAGAACCCACCACCTCCGAATTCACCGTCATCATGCACGGCCCCAAGCTGAAGACCATTGAGGGCATCGTGATGGCTGCTGACAGTGCCCGCTCCTTCTCACCCCTGGAGAAGTTTGGGCAGAACTTCTTGGAGAAGCTGATAGGAATCGAGGTGCCCCACAAACTGCTGGAGCGAGTCACCTTCGTGGACACACCGGGCATCATAGAAAACCGCAAGCAGCAAGAACGAGGTAGGGGTTTACCGGGTTCATCTAAGGGACTCTGGAAAACATGGCATAACGGCGTGAGGTGACAAAGATGGCTGAAGCACAACGAGAGGAGCCCTAGGCTACAGAAGGGTTCTTGCCTTGGAGGGGATGGCAATGGTTGTCTGCCCATGGCTATGGCGGCAGCAGCAGGGGCCTGGGCAGTCAGGCCTTTCGGCAAGGTGTTTCCTGGGGACTCCTGGCTGTTGATTGTCTCTGCCTTAGCTCAGCATTTAACGCCCTGTTTGTCACCCTTGGAGCCAGGCTTTGCCAAAGGCTGGTGCTACAGCAGGGCCCAGAGCCGCGCCATCCCCACAGCACCAGGACAGATCAGTGGGGCTTCCTGACCCACTTGGTGCCCAGTGGGGAAATCAGTGATGCGGCCGATATCTGCTCACAGGAGTGGTGGGAATCTGTGGCCAGTGGCAGGGAGAAAGAAGGTTTGGAGGTGAGGTGGGAGGAGACACGCAGGCCCAGACACACAGGGATGGGTTTTCAGGCCAGGAAGCTCTGAAGTGTTTTCAGCATACAAGAAACAGGTTCTGGGCTGCAGGGGAAGTCCCTTGTGTCTCACACCCCATCCAACCCAGACAGGGTGCGAGACACAACAGGCTCAAGGTTTATCTATGCCTTGTCCTGAAGGGACTCATCCTGTGCTGGTCATTTCTGCTGGATTTCTCTCTTTCCTCTCCTCAAGGTTACCCGTTCAACGATGTGTGCCAGTGGTTCATTGACAGAGCCGATCTCATCTTCGTTGTCTTTGACCCTACGAAGCTGGATGTGGGCTTGGAGCTGGAGATGCTGTTTCGCCAGCTGAAGGGCCGCGAGTCTCAGATCCGAATCATCTTGAACAAAGCTGACAGTCTGGCTACCCAGGAGCTCATGAGAGTCTACGGTGCCTTATTCTGGAGCCTGGCTCCTCTCATCAACGTCACGGAGCCACCCAGGGTGTACGTTAGCTCCTTCTGGCCCCAGGAGTACCATCCAGATACCCACAAGGACCTGTTCCTCAAAGAAGAGATATCGCTCCTGGAAGATCTCAACCAGGTGATTGAGAACAGGATGGAAAACAAGATCGCCTTCATACGCCAGCACGCCATCCGGGTGCGCATCCACGCCCTTTTGGTCGATCGCTATCTACAGACCTACAAGGACAAAATGACCTTCTTTAGCGATGGAGAACTGGTGTTCAGGGACATTGTGGAAGATCCTGACAAGTTCTTTATCTTTAAGTCCATTCTGGCAAAGACCAATGTCAGCAAATTTGACCTCCCCAACCGCGAGGCTTACAAGGACTTCTTTGGCATCAACCCCATCACCAGCTTTAAGCTGCTGTCTCAGCAGTGTTCCTACATGGGAGGGTGTTTCCTAGAGAAGATCGAGAAGGCCATCACTCGCGAGCTTCCCGATCTCTTGGGAAGCATCGGCTTGGGGAAGAAGCCCAACGTCCTCTCCTGCGACATCACCGGCTGTGGCGAAACCCCAAAGAATCGCTACAGGAAACCTTAAGGTGTTCTGTAATATCACCGTCCACGTGTTCCTACCGGTGAATGAGCTTATGTCTTATCTGTCCAAGAAGCCATGGTTTGTTAACCCTTTGAGTGCCACGCTGGCAAAGGCTGCTGTACGATGAGGACTTTGAGTCGTTGACATCGATGGCAGGGGAAGATGGGTGGGCATAAGAAAGAGAATAAAAACTGTGAATTCCTGTCATTTTATCTTTGTTCTTTCGAGTAGAAAGCAATGTTTAAGCTGTAAGTATGAGCAATGCACAGCGAGCTAGAACTGTAGCGGCTTTTTCACTGGTGCCAAGAGTGCATGAACAGGAATTTCAACCCCTGCGTCCCCGAAGCTGGCAGGGAGCGAGGACTAGGGCACGGCGTGAGAGCAGAAGGGAGAAGAGTGACACAATAACCCGGGGCACCGCCGGCAGCCCCGGGGGCAAAGCGCCGGGCAGGGACAGAGAGGCCAGGGCCCAGCTGTTGTTTTCAGGCACAAACATCCTACAGATCTCTGCAAATATTGATCTTGGTTTTCCTTCCAAGGCTTTTAGGCCGCCCAGTGATTCTCCTTTTGCATAACAGCTGAGTTGAACTTCTGCAGCCTTCAGAAGGTTGGATAGTCGCCTTAAGAAGGGGCTTTTGCAGGGGCATTTGTAGCTGTGATGGGATTTGCAAGTCTGTGTCAGAGGAAGAAGTGGGCTGGAAAGGAGCCGCCAGCACTGGCTGAGCTGTGCTGGAGGAGGAGGGCCTGCACCCCAAATCCCCAAGGAGCCATGACCAGGTTTTCCTCCCCCTGGGCCAGCACAGGGACAGGGCACTTGGTGCCGGCGTGCGCCATCAACCTCAAAAACCCCGTCCTGGCAAGTGAAGCCTGAGGACATGCAGGGCTCTGAGGGTCAAGAGTTTGGCAGTTTGACCTTGTTCAACTCTGTTTGGCTGTTTTCTCAGTGTCAGCCCCCGTGTTTTTGTGCTCTGCGGAGGGGTCAGGAGCAGGGGGTCACTAGCCACGTCCTTTTTGCCCACCTGCTGATCTGTTCTCCCTAGGACAGCCCAGGCAGGTTTCTCTGGCTTGTTTGCCAAACTTCCCCCATTTTAGCCGTGGTTCTGGTGGCTCATCGCTGTGCATCAGTGGTCAGTCCTGGGAAGAGAAGGAGCATCACTTTGGAAGCACCCAGGCAGGGTGAGGTTCCCTGCGGACAAGCTGACCTTGAAACCTGGCAGTGAAAGCCAGAGGATTAGGGGTGGCCTTGTCACGGCCAGCGCGGCTGGCTGCTGAGCTGAGCACAAACCAGCCAAGAGGGAGATGTTGCCCTGGATGGAGACCGGTGCCTCCGAGCCTAAAAAAAAAAAACGCCCTTTCTCCTTCCCCCTGCCAAAGGACCACAGCTAGCGCTGCTCTCCAGGCAACCTCTGGAGAAGAGGGACTTACTTTGATGGGAACAAGAAGATGTGGAGGCAAGAAAAAGGCAAAAGGAATGAAAGAGGGAAAGAATGGGAATGGAAGGCTTTGTTGTGATGGGAAGGGCGTGAAGGGTGGTAGCCCTCGTCTCTACGTGCCCAATGGGACGTGGGCTACAGCAGAAGGTCCGTGGGAGCTCCACGTCCCCTGGCACTGAGGCCAGGCGCTGCAAAGAAGAGGTCCCCTCGGGTCCAGGTGAGTTTGGGGGAACTTCCATGCTCCTTGCCTCTGCTTTGCAGTAGGACTCCACCTTTTGAACTAACGAAGACGAGACCCAAATCTACGTCCAAGCACGGGAAGGGGCATGGCTCGCACGGAGGGATTTTGCCCACGGCGCAGAGGGGACCGGAGGTACGAGCAAAGGCAAGCAGGGTGTTAGAGACAGTGGCCACCAGAACAGCCCAGAGAGAAGTGACGTATCTGTCACCGGTGTTGTGAGGTCTCAAACTGCCCTGGAGCTGCTGCCCTGCTCCGCTGCTGTTCCTTCTTCTTTCCTGTACATGATCCCACCGCTCATGGGCGTCCTTCTCTGTCGCACCCACTCCTCCTCACCCCTCACTCTCCTCCGCCGGGCTAGCCTGCATCGTTTTAAGAGCTAATGGAATAGAAACGCTGACAGAAATGGGATAATATCGTCACGGTTCCTGCCGTCACACTGTGTGTCGCTGTCGCGGCAAAGGCCATCGCATGTTTCTATCTGCAAGCGCCGTATCGCGCCATCTCTTCCCTTGCTGCCCTGTCCCCCCAGAGCATCCATCGCCTCCTCTCCTCCCTTTCTCTTCCCTTCAGCACCTGCACGCCCTGTGCAATCCCCGGTGCCCGTGTCCTGGATGGGGCTCCTCTGTGACGGCCAAAACCTTTTTTCCTCCCCCGATGCCGTACGTTAGGGTTCTCTTTCCAAAGCGGTGGCGGCCCTGGTCCAAAGCTGGGGCTGTTTTCTGCTGCCTGTGACGCACGCTGACTCGGCTCCGTGCTGGCTCGGGGAGATGCCAACACCGAGATGCTTTGTCTTCCACGGATTCAAGTGGCTGTCAGTCCCAAGAGGACTGTGGTCCCCAGCCCAGCTCTCTCCAAGCTTTCTTAGGAGAGCTCTGGGAATCTGGAGATAGAAATGAGGAGGAGGGAGACCTTTTCATTTTGCCAAGAAACCCCAAGCCCCTGCGGCTGGGGTGCCGGGGGGGGGGGGGGGGGGGGGGGGCGCTGCCTACTCCAAACCTTTAGGCCACTCTTGAGAGGTGCTATTCCCACTGTGTGTCGCTGTCGCGGCAAAGGCCATCGCATGTTTCTATCTGCAAGCGCCGTATCGCGCCATCTCTTCCCTTGCTGCCCTGTCCCCCCAGAGCATCCATCGCCTCCTCTCCTCCCTTTCTCTTCCCTTCAGCACCTGCACGCCCTGTGCAATCCCCGGTGCCCGTGTCCTGGATGGGGCTCCTCTGTGACGGCCAAAACCTTTTTTCCTCCCCCGATGCCGTACGTTAGGGTTCTCTTTCCAAAGCGGTGGCGGCGCTGGTCCAAAGCTGGGGCTGTTTTCTGCTGCCTGTGACGCACGCTGACTCGGCTCCGTGCTGGCTCGGGGAGATGCCAACACCGAGATGCTTTGTCTTCCACGGATTCAAGTGGCTGTCAGTCCCAAGAGGACTGTGGTCCCCAGCCCAGCTCTCTCCAAGCTTTCTTAGGAGAGCTCTGGGAATCTGGAGATAGAAATGAGGAGGAGGGAGACCTTTTCATTTTGCCAAAAAGCCCCAAGCCCCTGCGGCTGTGGTGCCGGGGGGGGGGGGGGGGGGGAGTGAGCATCTCAGCCGAGAGCATCGCAGGAGGGAGGGAGCTGGGACACCGGCCCACGCAGATGCCCGTGATCGTGTGCATTGGGATAAAACTGTCAGCTTGAACATCAGCCTGTCTAATAAAACTTGGTATTTTCCAAACAGACTCCCTGGAGATGCTTTTTTTGTTTCTCCTGCCTGTGTGCTGCGACTGCCGGGGCTGGGGCGGCCAGGGGGGTGCAGCTGCAGGGGGTGAGGCAGGAGCTCCCGTCTCCTTCCCCACACCCCAGCCTTGTACCTGTCCCTCACGCGGGACCTGCTGGCCGCACCTGAGCCATTTGGTTGCTTTTTCCAACCCGGCTTCCCGTGCCACAGGCACAAACTGGCAAAGCAAACCCCAGCTCCTCTGCTTTGCGATTCCAAGCAGCGCGATCCTCCCTGGTGGGACAGATCCTTGCTCCCACCCGCACCAGGAGATGCCTCTTAAACCCTCTTTGTGTGCGGTCCCCCTCCTCCTCCTCCCCTCGCAAGAGGCCCCGCCATGCTGAGTGCTCAGAGAGAAAAGTCTTCCCTCCCTCTGCCTGGGGACCTCGATCCCCCAGGGCCCATCACAAAACCGGCTCTGATTCACTCGCGGGATACCCCCAATGGATGCAGAGGACCAGGAAAATTTTGGTTCATCTGGAGATGTGGGAAAAGTGGGCTGGAGAAGCGTGAGGAGATCAAATAAATTCCTATTCCTCCACACCACAGAAATTCAAGCAGAAAATTACACATTTGAGTGGCCATGAGACTGTGGAGGACAGTGGAGGAGGGCAGGGCGTTGGGGACCATGGCAGAGGGACGGGGCTTGGGGACCATGGTACCAGGCAGGGGGTGAGGGACCATGGAGGAAGGCAGAGGGTTGAGGAGCATGGAGGAGGGTGGGGGGTCAGGGACCACAGCGATGCCTGGGGGGTCTCGCCAGCCACCCAGCGAGAGGCGGATGGAGGCACCACCCCACCAGAGGCTGGGGCTCATGCAAACTGCTTATTACAACCTTACTGCCTGGCCTGTCCGTCTGTCTGCCTTTCCAACTATCTGTCTTGCTCGCTAATCAAAGGAGGTCATTCCAAGAAAGCTGGGAGAGGAGAAGGAACGTCTCACTTGGCCGTGGATTCCTTTGGAAAGTCTGGAAAAACTGTGGCGTCTTGATGTGCGTGAAGGTCTGCTGAGCGAGCAGCACATTTTCCTTCCCAAGCTGCTGTAAAGATGTGAATCATGAGCCGGCAACGCTCCTGGCAGAACGAAAACTGATTCCACTGAGACGTGGTGCTGGCAGTGGTGCTGCCGTATCTCTTGGACAGAAAAGACAAACCTTTATCTTAGAGACATCGCGGGGAAAAGAAGAGCCGTCGGTGCTGCCGAGAGCCCTGCGGTGGCCGGATCCTGCCTGCTCCCGGGATGCTCCCAGTGAGGGGAACCTTGAGCAGGTTTCCCAAAGGTCTTCCAAAGCCCGGCGGTGGCATTGCCAAAACTCAAAGGCAAGCCAAGGGGTTTATGGTCCCTACTGCTTTGGTTGCCCTCCACAACCTCAACCCCTGGGTGGCACCTCTGCATTTCAGAGATGAAAACATCCCATACCCCAGCGGCTCATTCGCAATGATGACGTTGATTTGATTTCTGTTGTTTTCATAGGTATCACATCGGACGTTGCAGGGAGAGACGAGGAGGGGGTGCCTGAGCAGATCGATTTTTCTCGCTGTGAGCTGGAGGCCAGAGCTTCCTGCGGTAATGAGCCAAACCCCGCACCTCTCCAGCCATAACCACCCTGGGGCAGAGCCTTCGACCACGCATGGGGAACGTGGGGATTCATTGATTCCTTCACCGGAAAAG